TCATCTTTCTGAGTCAAAATGTGCAGTTTTCTGCTCTGTGTCAGGAAAGGTGAGTATAAAAAAAAAAAAGGAACTCTTCTCATCTTAATGCTTGTGGGTGGATTTAAGGACTTTTGTAACCCTTTCTTGCACTCTGTGAGTACAGAGAGGGGTTTCATTCCTCAGACAAGTGTTTTTAATGGCATGGTAGTTTAGTTTTAAGTGTGATTTGAAGATCAGGGGGAAGCAAGAGGAGCATGAGCGTCTATTTTAAAGCTTTGTTTAAAAAAAAAGGGATGTTTCTTGTGCTATAACTTGTGAAAGTATTTTCTGAAAGAACTTAGGAAGAAAATTAGAAGAAAATAGTATTTGCCTCCCCAAAAACTCATTTCACCACAAATCACAGTAAAAATTGCGCTGTGTCCCATCCTCCCCACTTCTTCCCTTGTAAGATTAATGCCTTTATGCCAATATTGTCATCAGGTACAGCAGAGAGGGGCTTTCTGATGATGCTTCTGTGAAAGCATCTCTTTGAAATCTGTACCCACAGCACAGAAAAATCATCTCGGGAAAACTGTGGCATAGTTGGAAGAGTGATTCAATTTTCTCTTGAAATCATTGAAGCCATCTGCGTTTATACAGCCAGTGTCATGTCAGGGCTGGGGTAGGGCTATGGGGTTCTAGGATGTTGCTTTATTATTTTTAGCCGAGTGCTGCAGAGATGCAAGGTGTATATAGCAAGCCAGTGGTTAAGAGTCCAGAAAGGGCTTCCAAAAAAAATTAGACAAATTAATAGCAAATTGGCCCATAAATGGATATTGAAGGGAATAGAACCTTTTAAACCTGTAATACTGCAATTGTAGCTGTCGGGAGAGTACACGAAGGAGTGGACTGCAGACACTGATCCAGCCCATGCAGACCCCTTAAATACTGTGTCCTACCACCGTGGGGGCTCAGACCCCACCAAGTTATGTGCTGCTTTTTTAGTCTGCCCTCCTTTAGATCCTTGAAAGGTAAAACTTTGGAGGGGATATCACCAGCTCCTTTCCCATGCTTCCACTAACCTGGGAAAAACACTCAGTTTAAGGGATGAGCAGGGCAAAGTGCTACACCCTCATGCTCTGCATAGGACTGTGCTGCCCATATAGCAGTGACGACGGGATCGTGCTTATTTATGCTCTGCCAGGGCTGAAGCCACCCTTCCACCTGCTGTGCATGATATAGGATTTAATTTGAAGGAGAAATGAAGGGGAAGGGTTATATTTGCAGAATGCTGTAAAGCTGTGCTGCCAGCAACCAGTCATTAGGGAAGGCTGCTTTGCAATACTTCGGGTTTTTGTTGTTATAAATAACAATATTTAACTTTATAGAGCTTTACTGTTAGCTCTTCCAGCCCTATAACCAGGAACAGCGAGTAAACAAGAGGTACTAAACCTCCTTATCCACCAAAACCTGCTTCTTTTATTAGCTTTTCTCTTTGCTTAGAATAAAGTTTTTTTTCTGTCTTTTTTTGGGGGAATAGTTTTGTTAGAGAGGAGACAGGTGGGGGAAGCGCATCCTGAGATACCTTTTACTACGGGTGTTACTGGATTGTGTGTCACGTGCTGAAATAACGTGTTTCTCTGCATCTTTTCTCTTTGGATCGGAGCATGAGATCCAGATCTGGACACACCAGCCAGTTCAAGCTTAAGGGCTTGCCACATCCCATTTTTTTCCAAGTCTGATTACTGTATATTCAACTTACCATATGCTTTTTTTTTTTTTTTTTTTGAGGTTGCATGTGTTAATTCAGGCATTTCTGAAATATGGAACATCTGCCGGTGGGGAGATGAATACAGGAGGGACCGTGGTGATGCTGCCTATTTATTCCTCGGGACATCCCAATGCTCCCACCCATCTTCCATTTATCCACATTTCTGAGTTGCTGTTGGCACTAAATGAATATTTTGACTTCTCAGGCTGCTGAAGCCCTAACGCAGGTTCATGTCCTGGAGGCTGAATGATGTGTGGGGACAGAGAAGGCTGAAAATCTCTCCCTTAAAGAAACGTTTTTTTAAGTCTTAACAGACATGGGTCATACTGTCACGATTTTTTTTTTTCCTAAGGGATGTTACTAAATCAAATTTCTTGGTTCTCTACTTGAAGAACAGACCCCGAAAGGTCAAACGGGGCAGAAAGGGGAAGAGATCCTGACTGCTCGCTGAGATGTGGTAAGAGGAAGGGGAAAAAAATAACCCACCACAAAACCATTACTTTTGTGAAATCTAGCCATGAAACTAATTATTCTGGAAATCTGCTGTGTCAGCATCCATCCTGCTGGAGATGGGCATGGGCCACAGGAGACAGATGCAACTTGTGCTTTGGAGGTCCCTTATGCCTTGTGTCAGACACTCAGTGCTGACCTGAGCTGCTCCTCTTGCCTAAAAAGGACTGCTAAAATTGCTCTTTTTTTTTTCCAGACTGAGAAAGAGAAGAAAATCAAGGCATAAGCAGCATAAAGTAATTTTTGGTTAATGCGTGGACAAGTACGCAGATGGCCAAAATGTCCAAAACAAAAGAGGACGGAGAACACGGTACTAACAATGACAAGAAATGGTACCCAAGGTTTTTCAGACTGAAATAATCACTTTATTAAGGTATCTGAAGTCCCGAAGAGTGCTGGGTGTCACTGCAAGGCCATCCTGGTACTAAAATGTGTCTGCAAGGATGGAGCTGGGTGTGATGATGCTGAGCTCCACGTCCACCCGAGCATGCTTGCGAGCGGGCAAGGTTTGATATAATGTGATTCTGAACCAAAAAGATGCATAATTGGTATTTAATGCACCATGAATATATTTTTCACTGCCTTCAAAGGTGTCAAAGCTGTATTGGTCTACCTGGGAAGGAGAGAGTGCTGTAACTGTATGGAGAAAAAAACCCCTAATGACACTATTTGATATGTACTAGGGATAAAATATGCCGCTATAGATGTCAGATCTGAACTCACCTAAATAGTTACTGATGCTTTTATTCATAGCCAGGTACCTTCATTGCTCCAGTGCTATTGACTATTACTGGGCATAATCATCATTATTATTAAGTATGTTATAAAATCATTAATTTTTTTAAAATTATCTATTTTTAAAAAGTATGTTAAAATGTGTATTTTTAAACAATTTTTGAAGCCTTGCACAGTGATTAAAGCAGTAAATTCAAGGCTTTGAGTCATGAACTCTTTCAGGGGGCTGCTTCAAACCCCAGCTCATGCTGCAACCCTGGTAAAAGCTGCTCCTGAGCACAGACCTGGGACGGTGAGACTTAAACATGTGCCGTCCAGCAATGCCACCGCACAGCATCACTGTGACCTGCAGATCGCTATTTAGCTTGTGGCATCCACAGCTCCAGCCACAGTCGCTCTGGCTATAGCAGCCTTCCTGGTTGCTGCAAGTAGTTTGATGGGGACAAACTCCCCAGTGCATTTAGGTGGTTTAAGGAGCACCAGTGCTTTACTTTCCGGTTTGGGGCAGCTTTGGCTGTTCTCAGCCTGCCTGGATGCTGCCCAGCCTTTAAAAGAGCTGGAGGAAAGACGTGGATGAACTCGCCCGTGCAAGAGGAAGGCTCCTTTTTAGTCATTTCCCTCTACATGGGGCTGTGTGCTCCCTCCTTTGCATTTTCTGTAGCTGTGGGCTTGGTTCAGCACCAGCTGGTACTTGCTGACTCCTGTGAGAGCTGCAGTTTTGGTTTGTATTCAGCAATCTCATGTCCCAGTGCAGTCCCCGAGGTCCCTAAATAGGCAGCGTTAACGCTAGGGGCACCAAACACCAGTAATCAGGTTGCATTTTAAAACAAGATGTGGCACTGCTGGAGCATCCCTGCAAAATTTGGGACACGGTGCCCTCAGTGCCACCCAGGGATGCGCTGCTTTGCAGTCAGATTTGGACTTTGGATACAAAGCACTTTTGAATTGTACAGGGAAGACTCTGGCATGGCTTTTCATCCCGAACACCTTCCCCAGACTGCAGGGAGGCTGAGGGCAGCCTGCCAGGTACGCAACAGGACACAGTTGCAGCACTGCACTTGCTGCTCACCAGCCCCATGCTGTGTCACATGGCCCCTGCCCTCACTCCACACACATTTACAACCACTTGCAATAGGCAGACAGTACTAGAAGCTAAAGGGTGTGGGAGAAAAAAAATGCGTTCTTGCAGCTTTCCCTCCCCCCAAGCCATCCCAAAAGGGAGCAAACTCATAGTAACAGGCTGCAAAGTGAAGTGAAAAGCAAGTCTTTATTGTGCATGGAGCAAAGATTGCACTGATGGAGCGGTTGAGATCACTGTGCTCCTCAGCACTGTCCTGTGGTCAGCCATGCACTGTGGTCCAGCACAGCCCCTCCGTTGACCCTTCACTCCCTCCTCACCCCATGGAAAAATCAGGCAGAAGGGTGTTTTGCTGCCACCTGCCCTTCCCAGAGACCTGGCCACACTGCCCATCCTTGGCCCCGCATCCAGTGGCTAGAGGGTATCAGTGGCTACCATGGCACACTGTAATTCCTGAAAAACAGCTGAATAAATAGTGATAACCAAACGGCCTTTCCTGTGGGGTGCCAGTGATAAGCCACCTCCTCCCCCCACTTTGGGCATTTCCCCTCCCCGGGTGCATCTCCCCTCCTGTGGGGCAGGGAGGGACCATGGTGGCCACATGCAGGCAGGGACAGGCAGGCAGGGACGTACAGGCGTCTCGGGCTGATTTTAAAGAATGGTTTATTCGCTCGGAAACAGACGGTCGCATCCCTTTGACCTAGATTTAAAAACCCAGTGTGTACAAAGTCACAGTCACGGCTTGAAGAGCACAAGGCAGCACCCTCGGAAAAAAAAGTCATTAAAAGTCCCAGCGTTATGTACAGCTAAGTGCCAGCTCGAGTATTCACAACACAGTAACGTACTGCAATTAGTTGCTTAAAAGTAGTTCCCTCGAGAAACAACCTTCTGCTCCGGCGGGGCCGGAGTCCATCCCGTCCTGTCCATCCATCCATCCGGCGATGCTCAGTGCCGTTGGCAGGTGTGCAGGCGGGAGGCATCGGTGGGGCCGTGCTCTCGCTGGAGGCGACACGCCAGCCCCTCGGCGCACTGGCACCGCTGGAAGATCTCCAGGCCGTGGGTGCCTTTCCGCCGGTGCCGGGTACACACCTGCCCTTCCCGCAGCACTGGCTTGCAAATTTTGGACCAGAAGTGACGGGCGCAGCACAGCCCGGCCGCACAGTCTGACGAACGCAGGCAGAAGTCCCCTTCCTCACCTGCATGGGGACAGCATGGCATGTGCTCAGCCTGGGATGCTCCCACGGGGGATGGTGGGGCAGGTGGGTATCCCCCACGGGGGACAGTGGACAGCAGGGCAGGGTGGGCGTCCCGGACTGACCCCATGAGGGACAGTGGGGCAGGGTAGGCAACCACCCATGGGGGACAGTGGGGTCACAATGCTGGGGACCCCCTTACCTTTGGCAGTGGGGAGCCAGGCGGGAGCAGGCGTCCGTCGGGGCAGCACCTCGGTTCCGATCTCGTCCAGCTCGGCGGCGCCGTGGGGAGGTTCCAGGGGGGTGCAGAGCCCTGCGGGAGGCAGCGGGACGCCTGTCAGCCACGGGGGGGGTCCCGACACCCCCTCCCGCGGACACCCCCAGGGTATCCCCCTCCTCCCCAAGCCCTGCCGCCCCTCACCGTTGCTGCAGGTCGTGCCGGGGCAGCACATGGCGTCGCGCAGGCAGCGCTTGCGGCGGCTCCGGCG